ATGATCTGATACGTATTTTTCAAAAATAACGACCATTTTTAATAATTTCCCACTATTAAAATTTTATATAATAAATATAATACAATCCCCTCACCCTCCTCTGCTCCAGTTTGTGTTTAGCACAGCGAAAGCTGTGATAAGCAAAGCGCTCCTGTTTAACTGATAAAAATTGTAAAAATGAATTATTATTAAATCGAAATAAATTACATAAAATCTTTTTTTATATAATTTTATTTTTATTATCCATGGGGAAATAAATTTTAAGTAACGAATAGCGCATTATTTTTTTGAATAGCGAGTAAGTCCATTTTTCACAAGGTAACCAGTAATGGTAACGCGGTCATTTTTTCAAACGTAACGAGTAACGCAAGTAATGTTTACAACACTATATAGAATGTTAAAATTGTTTAAATTCAATTTTTTAAATTGTAAAACCAAAGAAACTTGAAAATATTTTTTATCCTTTTTTGAGGCTATGTCCAAAATATCAAAAAATATCATTAGCAAACTTTTGAAACCATATAGAAAAATATAAGCTTTTTTTAATAAAAAAATAAAAATAGGTCCAAAATATAATTCTAGAAAAACGATTCCATTAAAATTTTTATACTTCTGAAATTTTAAAATATTTCGAATTTTTTTGAAAAAGAATCTAAAAGAAGAAAACTTTTAGATTGGAGTTACTCAAAATAAATAATTTTGGTTTTAAATAATGAATTTGAATTAGATCCCATATTTATGTTAGATACTATTTTTATTAGTGATTACATGTATATTACAATTAATTATAATATAAGATATAAATCTATGGGCACAAAAACATGGCCATAGGACGGACAAAAGTGAGCCGAAAACGGTAAAAGAGGGAAATGAGAGCATACCCCCCCCCCATTAATTGAAAAATATTATACACATTTATTTAAACACCCGCTTTTGTAAAAAGCTAGTGACGCCCATAAAAAGAAAATTCATATATGAAATTTCGTATTTTTTAAGTAACAAATAACGCGTTATTTTTCCTGAATATATGTTCCTTTTTACAAGGTAACTAGTAATGGTAACGTGTTATTTTTTAATTGTAACGAGTAACGCGTGTCTTTTTTAAAGTTTAATAAATTTTTATAGCCTATTATAATTTTTAGGAATTATTTTTATGAATATTTATCTTATAAACAAGATCGTTCATATTCTGAATATGGAAGTGGCATATTATATTTTATAAAAATGGGGATTTATCGTCGGAAATGATTTTTCGCTAAATTTTATTAGTAAACAATTCCTATATACTTGGTTTTAGTTTTAATTAAACACAATTATAAACTCGTGCCAAAATGATGTTTTATGGTGTGCCTTTATTGTGAAGACTAAATTATTTTTAGATAATGTGTTCTAATTATGTGTTAATTGCAACAATAAAGTTTTGAGGTTTATATTTGATATTTGTCATTTTAACTCGGGTGGCTTTCCATATTACTCGGGGCCGTTGGTAAATAGTAAAAAGCACGACTTTCAGTCATAAATAGCACCCCTCCCCCAGTATAAAAGGGAGAAAATTCCAGTTTTATTTTATTTTTTAGTTTAATAATAATACAATTAGCTTAATCTTAAAATAAATAAAATTTTATTTCAAAAAAAAAGAAAAACATTTGCAACCCCGGTCTTCCCTATATGAGATTTAAAATAACGATAAAGGATGTAGCGGGAATGAAATATAACAATAACTTTTGAGAAAATTAATTAATATACGATAAATCTGATTTTTCTATTAACCAAATCTCTTCTATTTTTTGCATTATGGAATCATAACAGGAAATTTATTCCCATTTAATATAATTCTCTATCTACTCTAATCTGATTTATTTTAAAAAACAAAATATTATGGTATATAAATTATTGACTCGTTTGAAAAGTTTTAAATTTTATTTAATATCGGAATTTCAACCACTATAGTAATAAATGTTTTCTTTTTCATAAATGAATTTAGATTCTACACAATTAAAGATATTAAGTTTCAGTAAACGTTATTGTTCCTATACTTTTCTGTGCAAGTCTGTTAATGATCAAAGTGTTAATTTTATATTACAGTCAATTCTAAAAGCATTTTTAAAAATCCATAGACATTTTTTGTTCGAATTATTATATTTAGATAATGGCTAAATGTTGGCTCAATCTTTAGTTGCCTGTCGAAGAAAATCCGTTAACATTAAGGCTTTTTCATTTATATTAGTTTCTTTCAAATTTGAGCTATCTTTTTAAGAAAAACCCCGAGGCCAAAGTGATAGTTTTCTTTAGTCTTAAACTTGGTTTAGTCGGCTAAAAATTGGTTTAAACGGCTAAATGTTAAAAAATTCCTCTTCAGATTTTTCAAAAAAACCTCATTTTCCAGAAGGTGGAATTATTAATTTAAAAAAATTATTTTAAGAAATTTTTGCAACAAGGAACAATTTATATATAATGTGAGTATTAATTTTGATTTTAGGTAAATCAATCATTTAAAAAATATATATTGTCATTTTTTTTCTTCAAATCATCAACTTTAAAAATAATATTTTCCAGTTTCGATTTTTCAAAATATTGATAAAAACAAAATGGTCCAAAAATTGTACCAAAAAATATAAACCTTAACAATTTATATAAATATCCACGGCAGATTTGTAGATTTCACAAGAGTAGGTGATTAATTATCCATTTATTAACAATTAATTTCACGTTATCAAAAAAATTTATTTTTGAAAAGGATTGTTGCATATGGCATGATTTAAAGTTTCGTAATGATTGCAATCGAAATTATGCAATGTTGAATGAATTTCATCTCTTATTTTACCCATTTCTAATATTAGCTATTTTACTATTGGTAGTGGTTTCTGCGTTAGGCTTTTATTATTTGGCAAAATATTTTGGATACGATTACGAGTTGAGGTTAGTATTAGCCAAAGTTTTTCACTGCATAAAAGTCGATCCATACATGGACACCGATCAACTGGGTTTTGATGACATAGTTATTAAAAGATACAATAAAAATGGAAAAAAAAATAAGGATGGAACATCTAACTTTCAAAATATGATTCAGGATTACGAATATATTGGTAAAGATCAAACTGCATTTTCACCTCATCTCAAACCTAAAATTAAACATTTAAGAAGGCTTTCTCAAAAACTTTTCCCGAAACAAAAAGTGGTGGTTAAATCAGATCAACTTAATTCAGAAACTCGAAGACACAAATTTATGTTAGACAATTATCGCATAAATAAAGATGATTTTCAAATTCTTTCGGATACCACCAGTTCTCCTATTAAAGTTGAGGAAAAATTACCGGTAATATTTCTACCTAAAAAAATCAAGCCTCTTTTTATTGAACCATTATTGAGCCCTCAAATTTTAAATACATTACAAGATGATACCAAAGAAATTATTCCTAAAGTGCCCTCCCCGATTCGTAAGAAAACTGTCATTCCTTCTGCTCAAAAAACTGTAGAGACTGCATATAAGAATACGAATCTTAAACCATCGACCTCCTTAGAAAGTGGTGAACCGAGTCCATTGGCTCTGGGAGTTTGTAAATCGTCAACTTCGCAGGAAAAATATCCTCCTGACAAGGATTACCTCGAATATTATGGCTATGACTATGATTCTCAGATAAAAAAGCCTCAAATTACCCAGCCTTTCGTTGACAAAAATATCGCAACCCCAATCAAGCGTATAAGAGATGAAGGCGATAAAAAGGTCAGGTTTATGTTACCTGGTAAAATACAAGAAATTTTACCTACAGATGAAGTTTCGGAGCATGAGTACACTTATGTAGAAGAATATTCAAGTAATGGAAATGAAAACGAGGATCAAGGAAATGAAACTGGGGAAAATAAAGCCGACAATGAGGATACATCAAGTTATACATACTCCTATGAATATGAAATTCCCTCTGGTAGTGCTAAATTGAGCAAGCCATCTTCTCCGCAAGTAAAATCTAAATTTAATCAGGTTCTTTCATTGCTGCCTCAGTTCTCCAATACGAATATTGATAGTAGAGGTGATCAATCTTCCCAATATGAGTATTATGAATAGGCAAATGTTTTATGAGTGTATAATAAATTTGATTGGTTTTTTTTGATTAGGTAAATAAATGTTTTTCTACGTTTGTTGAAGTTTTTAAATATATTTTAAAAAGCTTAACTATTTCTAGTAAATTGAGTTGTATATAATATTAATCTGATTTTAAAGAATAAAATGTAACCTCTTTATATTCAGGTTAATGGACCTTTCCTATGGTAGACTAAATTTTGTCATTAATAAGTTTTCGTTTGAGAGAAACTTATTATAAAATTTAATTTTATTCGATTTTTTGATTGGTTGAAGTCCTATATTCTTTGTAGATCAGTGATGTGTTACTTCTTTTGCATTGTGGTTACATTAAAAGGGGTATCAATTCAATTGAAACTGTATAAGTTAATCTTTAATTTTAAATTCAGTAAATCTAAGAGAAAGTATTAGTTTTATACATCGATGTAACCAAGTATTTATGTAAAAAAATTGAAGGTATTTTCCAGTGATTTTATTTTTATTACTTATTTGTTCATGTAAAATTGGAAAATTTCTTCTCATCACCATTTTTATTTTATTTATTTTTTCTTTTACTAATTTTAACAGTTTCCTGAAACATAAAATAACGGCTCGATTTGAGCCGATTTTTAAATACAGTTAACTCAATATTTTATCCAGGAAAATATTATACAAGCATAAAGATTTTGCCCATAGTGGCACAAAGATTTGGAGACCATTAGCAAAATTTCGAGAATTAGGCAATATTTTTCTGACTAAAATATTGAATTAGCCATATACGTTCAAATTGAGCGTTCCATGCTAGATAAATTGTTATTTTAAAAAATTAATAAATGGATGAAAATTGTGACTTCCAATCTTTTAAAATTATAATTGACCGTTTTAAAAACTACGTGAAAGATGCAAAATCGGACAAGCACATAAAGAGATTAATTGACAAAAGTATTATTAACTAAAAAATGTTATTTTTCTGAGTATTTCATTCTTTTTAGATTGATATCGTTTGAAATTTACCAATTTTGTTTGAATGTTATACAAAATTTTGCTTAAAATAAAATTTTTAATTATACATATAAATGGCAAGATTATCAAATGGGTATCAATTATTAGCTTAAAAAAGCAACAATAATCAAATTTATACTAGTTTATAAAAAAAATTCTAATTTTAAATGGATACAAAAAATATTACATCAAACAAGATGTTTATATAATTTTCACAAAAAAAAATTGTAAAAAAATTACATATTTTTTTAAAAATCTTTCATGTGACAATAGGTTCCTTTTGAATTTCATTACTTTCTTCTGTCGTGGGATTGTTCTCTTCTTCGCTTTCCATCATACCCTCATCTCCAAAATCTTCAAAAGTTTCCCCTGATTTAGGGAAAGCATTTCGATTAGATTCCTAATTAAATAAAATGAAAGAAAATTAACTTTAAAAATTGTTAAGGATAGGTATAGTCTTCTTTTTGATTAACAGTCCATAAAAAGATTCTTAGCCCAAATAATATTACCCAAAGTCTGTAAATTTGGCTAATAGATGTCCAAACTCCAGCTATCTATGAGCAAAATCTCCAGGCTTGCGTAATATATTTTGGTCAAAATTGAAAAACATGTTTTTAAAAATTGACTAAATTGAGTGATAATGAAAGTTAAATTTGCACACCTATTTTGAAAATGGCATTAAATCTAGAGCCATGCATCTAATTTATTTTTAGCCTGATTGGTATAATTTATTTTTTTGAATATCTAATTAGTACCCTACTTGAAAATGAAAAATTTTGGGTTTTTATTATTTAGAAATAAAAATAACATTATAAAAATAATTGTATATTTAAAAAAATTATTTTAAATGGTGATGTAATTCCTAATAAAATAATTTAGCATTTTTGTTGAGATTTGAGTTTAAATAAAAATATATGGATTTCAACTGAGAATGTGGGAACTCTTTAGACCTTATGTGCTATAATAATAAAAAATGTTCAAGCTTACTATAGGAGGCATTTGGGCCATTTTGTCAAAGATCTTTGCATACAATTGTTTTTCTTTTTGTAATTGTAACTTTTTTTGCTGTTTTGAAATGGCAATTTGATTTTGGGCAGCTTTGTTATTGGGGTCAATCTCAAGTACTTTCTGAAAACAGGAGATGGCATCATCGTAATTGGTTAAAACTGTGTGGGACTAATATATTATAAAATAATATAGTGATATCATGATGGTTAGTTTATATTAAAGCATAAATATAGTTTGAAATAATTTTAAAACAGTTTGTTAAAAACAATTTGTATGTATAAAAAAATTTACAATATTTTTATGTAAGCTTAAAAAAATTTAAATAGCCATTTGAAAAAAATGTAATTTAACCCTAGCAATAATATCATCAACTGATGTTAAAAGCAATAAAATTGTTTTTTCTTTTTTTAAATGCCTTATTTTCTACTAAAAAAAATTATAATAGATTTTGTTCTGAATTTTTAAAAGTTTTAAGTCTAAATAGTAGTGTTGTTATTTGGGTCAGTTTTTCAAATTGCCCAATTAAACTGAAAATATTATTATGTAACTATCAAGATTTTGCAAATATCCAAGCATTTCTATCAGCTATGAGCAAAATCTTTAGGCTTACATAATGTCATTTTGGTCTATAATTTTAATCGGGCTACTTTTTAAAATTGACCTGAATTGGGCTTTTTTACAAAACTATTAAATAGTCCTATTCAAAAATAAATAAAATAAATAATAAATTTGCATTTGATATGTATTATTCATTTTTGAGTATCTAGATATACATTATATCTGGTTAATATGAATCAAAATTAAATAATACCATTCCTTTTCTAAAATAAGCCTTTTCTGATTTTGGGTCTGTTTCCAATACCTTATCACAAAATTCAATGCATTTGTTATGATCCCCTAACTTCAGATAGCACATTGCAAGATTATTATTTGCAGCTTCTTTCAACTATAAAAATTATCTTAAATAATTCATTTAAAAAAATACTTTATTTAATTTTTCTAGCTGTTCATCTTTTGCATCTGGTTCATATTGCAAATAATCATTGATTTTTTTATAGCATGACAGTGCTTTTTTATATTTTCCATCCTAATAAATTGATTAATTTTAAAAGGTTTATAACTTTACTTTGAAAAATTTTCCCCCCTTATCTTTTAAAAATGATGATTGTTCAAGTTTTTCAGACAAATCCATTTCCCAGCTCTCCTTGGCCTAAAAAAGATATACTGACTTTTTATATTTTTTTGTTACTTTTTCAAAATCATTCAAAATAATTTCATAAATTAATTTTGAATTTGAAGGAATGTTATATTTGGGGTAACCAGCCTTGCCATATGCATATATTGAGGAAATTGTCAGGCGTGATTTTTCACCCTTTTTCATTTTTTTTAAAGCATATTCTATCCCTTCAACTACCATCCCACTATCATCTAAAGTGATTTCTAAATCTTCATCTTGAAATATTGTGTCTTGACATCTACCCTTGATGTGAACTAAATAATAATAAAATTAAATTTTAATTTATGTTGAAATAACTTTTAACAAGTGCTCCTTCATTTGGTGTATTATAGCCTTCTCCTTTTTCTAAAACTGATTTTAGAATACCGCCATCTTTATTGGGAGATATATCTTCAGGCTTAAAATCTAGTAATTCAATTTCAAACTGTAATGTAGCATCTGCTGGTATTGATGGCGGACTTCCAGCCTTACCATAAGCATAATCTGATTTGCATGTTATTAAAGCTAACTCGCCTTTTTTCATCGTTTTTACTGCGATATCCCACCCTTTAATCACCTCACCTATTAGTAAATATTATTAATGTACCAAAGTATAGTTATTAACCTTTTCCTAGAGTGAACTCAAATGGTGTTCCGCGTTCCCTACTAGAATCAAATTGTTTTCCATCTAAAAGAGTACCTACATAATGAACAAAAACTTTGTCTCCTTCGGCAGGTCCATCTTCAGAGCCTTCCTTTATAATTAGTTTAGTTACTCCGTTATCTTTATTTTCAGAAATATCTAAAATAGGATTTGACATTTTAAAATCAATAAAAAGAAATTTCGAGAATAAAATTTTGTGAAGTTATAAAAAATATGATCGACATTTAGGCATTCATTTAAAATATTATAATAAAAGAAAAAGAAGAATGCATCTATATAATTTAATAATAATGTTTAAGAAATAAACTCACAAATATAAATTTAAATCTTTCACTTGTGTCTCCCATCTTTCCTCTAACCCAAACATTGATCCGATCATAACAGCCGAAAAGTCATTAATTAGAAAGTACCTCGACTTCCCATATTTTAACTTTATCCCAAAAGTTATTTCCACTAATGAGCCCTTAGATCACCTAGGTTATAATTATTTTTAAATTTTTAAGGCAAAAAAAATTTCTCCAATTAATGGGGATATTTGATCGTCTTTTAAATGTTAGAATCAACTCTCAAATCGCCGTGTTACATGGCAACTGTTTTAGTTTCCCTGGATCTCAATGATGGCAAGTATTTATCCACCCCTCCCCCTCCATGTTTATAAATTATTTTATTTGTCTTGTTTAAATTGATTACGGGTTTTTTGCATATTATTTTCATATAGTTTTATGCTTATAATTTTTAATATTTAATAAATAAAAAACATTACAAACTTTTTTAAAAAAAGCAATATTCATGATTTAATCTAATTACTATATTTTATTTATCTTATTTTATTATTATTATTATCTTAATAAAATTATTTTTTTTTCTTGTGCTAAAATTTTTTATTTATTGACCTCACCTAATGTATTTTTATTAGTGCTGTTAAGTAAAGTCAAAATAGTAACATTGTTATCAACTTCGTTAGCTTTTTTGAAAAAAGGAACTCCATTCTTTACCTTGTTCCAGCGCCTATATGACAAGATTTTCACTTGGTGCAAACTCCCCTCAAAAACCTATGCTTACCACCCTGAAAAATTTCCACCTCCTTCGGCGCCGATGTTTTTCCATTATTACTTACAACTTTTTAATTATAATGGTACTCCTTTCAAAGTTTAAAAAGAATAATTTCATTTATTATATCTCTCATTACCAACTATCAAAATATTGTGAATATAAAGGAGTTATTTTTTAGATCATGAATCAAAACCCACTCATTTAAAATGAATGCATTATTATAGCACTATAAGTTTGCTGAGAACGTCTAACCCTTTTAAATTACATTTAAAAGAATAGCAAAACGTTTTATTTGGGAAAATAATGTCTATTTTGCAATATCATTTAATAGATCTATAATAATAATAATAATTTTTGCAGTTGTATATTTTGTCCTATTTTATCTCCAAAATTTAAAATATAATCCCCCCCCCCCCAAAAAAAAAATTATCCTATCCTATTAGATACGCCTCTGCCTCCTACCCCCTTTAAGAAAAATTAAATGCAAACTGTTCCTACCCCCCCCCCTCCCCCGGTAATGTAGACGCTGCCTTCTTCTAGATAACAAGTAACGGTAACGCGTCTCTTTTTTTTGAGTAACTGTAAAACAACACGTTACTCATTATTTTTCCTTAAAAAATATAAAAAAAGAAAAACATTATAAAATTACTATTATTTATTTTTTAATATAAATTATTTAAGCCAAGTTTTTAATTCATATCAACCACTATTCCTTCATTTTGAATTCTCGTTGTTAAATTTTCAGATGTTATCTAATTAATATTCCATCAAAATTCAAAGTAAATGTTAATAATAAGTTATACAGCTGAAAATAAATCCGATACTGTTAACTTTATTAAATCCAAATTAAAGGAAAGAAAAATTAATTTTTACCTAACATGGCTGGCTTGCCATAGAAAATCAATCCGATAGCAAAAAGAATAACTTTATTAAATCCAAATTAAAGGAAAGGAAAAAAATATTGGTTAATTTTTGCCTAACATGGCTTCTTTTATACTTTATAATTCAATAAATACATAATTCTAGAAAATAAAAATAATATCACTCATCCTGAATCTCACAATCTAAAGTCAAATCAATACGCCTGTGTTAACAAACCAGATTATTGCGCATTATAAAAATACAATGAATTTACAAACAAACAAAATATATACCAATCTAACAATAAAAAAACACTAATTATGACATCTCTCCCCCTTATAGATAACCGAATTGTCCCTGCTTTTGAACGTTGCATTACTCCCTTCCATACGTTTTACCATAGTAGTTGTTTTAAGTGGACTACTTGATCGTAGCAATATTTCCACGATCCTTTTACTTCTTTCGATAAGTCAACAGAACGGGGTAGTTTGTATTTTACCATGACCATACAATGAGATTCTTCGTCCATAAAAATACCTAAAACCCTGACATAATACCCCAAATCTCCCTTATCTTATCCTATAAAAAATGAACCTTATCTTTACCACATCATTATATTAAGAAATTTAAGTATTATATTACAACGTAAAAATACTCCTCATTTTTTTAAAAAAAAACTCAATAATCAAGGGCACCACAGAAAAATTAATTTAAAAAATATTTTTAATACTTCTCATAATAATTTCTACTTTTCATGTACAACTTTGGTTTATCAAAATTTAATTATAAAACAACTATTCCCTTTCCAATTTCAACACTCCTCTATCATAAATCACATTTTTTCTCAATTACTAAAAAAAAAATATACTATTACAATATATATATATATATTATTTTTTTCTTTTTTTCAAAAATCGAATCTAATTTTTATTCTCTTATTACTTTTATTTCTATTCAAATTTAACAAAAAAAAGTAATATATATATATATATATCAATTACGCTTACCTTAGACCATTTTATATATCTCAATATTATTTTTTCCTTTTTACAAAAAATTATAATATTACTTCCTCATGTTTTCATGACGTACAAACCTTTAAAAGTTTACCTACCTTCCCCCATTACATTTACAAAAAAATATTTCTATACAGGTTTTGAATATATAATTTAATTTTATCTCCTTACTCGCGTCTTTGATTCTAATAAATTTCTAAAAAAAACACATTCCTTAAAAAATATCAGCGATATAACATTTTATGAAATAAGATATATATAGTGTTGCGTATTAAAAATAATGAATATGATAATTGTCACTTTTCTATGGTACATATTCACTGAAGTTTTATTCAAACATGTTATCAATACTTATTTTAACCTATTTTTGTCAAAAAAAAATTAAAATACTTTAAAATAACGATTATGACAATTGTCAATCTATGGTACATCTTCACTAAATTTTATTTAAACAAGTTATCAATAATTATCTTAACCTATTTTCGTCAAAAATATCTAAAAAACTTTAAAATTACGATTATGGCTATTTTCACTTTTCTATGGTACATCTTCACTGAATTTTTATTTAAATATGTTATCAATAATTATTTTAACTAATTTTCGTCAAACAAAAAACTTTAAAAATAACGATTATGACAATTTTCACTTTTCTGTGGTACATTTTTACTAAATTTTTATTTAAACATGTTATAAATACTTATTTTAACCTATTTTTGTCCAAAAAATTCAAAAAACTTTAAAAATATCTATTATGACAATTGTCATTTTTCTTATAGTACATCTTCACTGAATTTTTATTTAAACATGTTATCAATACTTATTTTTACCTATTTTCGTCAAAAAAATTTAAAAAACTTTTAAAATAACGATTATGACAATTGTCACTTTTCTAGGTACATATTCACTGAAGTTTTATTTAAAAAAGGTTAAGTCTTATTAGGCTTAGGCGTAGTTTTTAGCCGATTACGTAACACTAGGTATAATTCTCGAATACTATATGACTCAATTACTTTACGAAAATATGTATTTAAATAAAAATTAACTTCAATAATCCGGACAGGATATTTTTTATATTTGTTTAGCCCAAAGTTGAGAGACAATACATATTGGAGAATATACAATTTAATTTAAGAAAGCAGTGGCGTCGCTAGGGGGGGCGCAGGGGCTCGACCCCCTGAAAAGTTTGAATAGCCCCTTGAAGCAAAAAATTATTTTTTTATGGTTCCTTAATATCCCCTTGAGCTAAAAATAAATGTTTTTAATTGCCCTCTGAATAATTTCTTTTATAATTCGATATTAAAAAATTAATAAGACTATCTTAATTTTTATTAAATGAAAACTATTTTAATTATTAGATTAGATTATTACATACAAATTATACTATGTCAGCTTGCAATCAAATTCTATGTTAAAAAAACAATATCACTCACTAAATATTAATTTAGCATTAACAGTTGAAGCTTAATTGACTTTTATTATTTAAATTAATATATAACCCTAATTAAATAAATATAATCATTTATTAATTGAAAATTAATAATTTAATATTTTAGCCGAGTTCAAAATCACTAATCAACTATATTATTGATTTTTAAATTTAATTATCATGTCTCTTCCTAAAATTATTTTCAAGGTCCAAATTATAAGAGATTTATTTATAAAAAGTAAGTATACATATAGTTTATAATCCTCTATTATATATAATTTTTTATAAAATATTAAGTAAAATGCCACTTTTACAGACATATCTGACAGTTATATAATATATTACAGTTAATATTTTAAAACTTTACTAATAAATGCTTTTGATAATAAATATAAGTAATAATTTGCTTACAAATATTTAAATTCATCCTACAATGGATGTAATAAATTAGATATCTCTTCTTCTCTTTTTTACGTGTTTTTAGGAAGCTATTTTTTTCTTCTTCGGAATATAGATTTAAGTTAAATTATTAATACGAATATATTTTTATTATTATTACAAACTACTATTATTTTAAGATATAATATACCAACTAGAGTTTGCGATAATAATATATAAAATCTTAATTGCTTTCATGATATCACTTTGGTTCTTATTTTGAAGTTACAAAATTTTTCATTTCTAATATGGCATTTTTGCCGTGTAAATAACTCAAGGCTTCAATATATTTGCATAATTTCTTCTAAAGGTTTTTAGTGTTATTGTTTTATCAATTTATCTAACAGAATAAATTCTAATATGGGTTAAGAGTTATATTAGTTTCATGACCTTTTGTCAATGTAAGTTGCTAATA